AATGAATTTAGGCTATTTTTTTTTAAATTAACTTTTAAAAAAAAAATTATGTAGACTATCCTAAATTAATTTTATAAACATTTTAACCTAGAAATATTTAAATTCGATAAATTTTGAAAAATCACTAAATCAATACATGAAAATCATAATAAACCACATAAACTTAATACAAACGACATTTAATAACCCACATAAACTTAGTTCAATCAAAAACTCACAAACTACATAAACTTAATAATGATATCCACCATCTTGACGTGGTGATGGACTTGGGTGATAGTCTTGAGATGACTCATCATCTTGAAATATACTCCTTGTGGCATTCCTTCGTAAAATGTCATTTTACTTACCACGTAATTATTTCTTCCTCTCTGGAGTGTATTTGTCGAGGTCCTCCATCATCAAATTAATTTTGAACCTTTCTTGCTCCCTATCCCCCTCTTCCTTCATGGCCAAACGCATTTGGGCCGATTCTTCTTGCCGAGAGATATGGTTTTTGTTCATTCTTGCAATTCCACTAGCAAGTTGTGCAGTTATCGGATCTTGGGACTTCCCTTCTCTCTTTGCTTCCTTTTGCTTATCTCTACCCGGGGGCCTTGCAAAAGAAGAAGTTGGGGTCATTTGTTCGACACCTTCATTGTCGGCAAAATTCACACCTTCATTGACATCATTTGAGGGTGGGGCTTCACTATGAAATAATGTTCCCCATTGTTGGTCCACATCAGTTCCCCACCTTGGACAATCCTTGAGGATGTTCCAAGCATGATGCAACTTAAAAGCTTGATTTTTTTTTTGTTGTAGTTCTTGTCTTGTAAATTGTCATTGCTTTGTCACCCTATGCAACTAATACATGAAAACAATTAGTTGCAAAATAATATTATGTACATGACAAATAAAATATCAACAAAGAAGCTCACAATTTTTGAGGCGCCCTTTCCACTAGGCATGTCAACCATGGCTCTCTCCAAGCTTCCCTTCCACAAAGTGCACGTTTTATTGATAATCTTCCACTGATCATAAACACCACCAGCTTCCCTTCGATTGACATTGGAGTTTTCATGGAACTTATCAACGATTTTACCCCACAAAACCTTTTTATTTGGATTTGTGTTGACGGCACCATCTTCGCTAACAGAAATTCATGCCAAACATAGAGCAATATCTTCGTCGAAGGTCCAATTACAACCTCTAACATGCTCTTTTGCCATCTTGAAAATTTTGGAAATGAGAAGAAATGGTAGAAAGAAAAATTGGAAGAATTGTGGGAGAAAAGTGAGTTTTGTGTGTATGTTTGAACAGATACATAGGTTTTTATAGAGTTTTTGGTTTAATTTTGAGTTAAATAATTTTTTTTAATTATTTTAGCCGTTGGATTTAAATTTGAACCGTTAGATCTTTTTTTTTACCGTTAGATTTGATTATATTCGATCTAAGCCATTGGATTAAATAAATATATAAATATAAAACCAAAAAAAAAAAACATTTGAATGTGGACCGTTGGATTAACCAACGGCCCAATTACCACAGCCGTGCGATGGAGAAAAGTAGTTGTTGGCTACAAACAGATTTTGACAAGCCCAAGGACACACCCATGTGGGTGGGGTCCACCTCGGCTGAATGACTTGCGCGTCTGTGCATGGAGAAGTCTGTTTGGGCGTTTGGGCTTCACAACCCATGCTTCAGTCACAGAAGCTGGGGTACACTCCAATTTGTGGCCTAAACTTGGGCCAGTAATTGACCCCCCAGATAAGTTTTAGGTTAATTTTAGGTCATGGGTTAGATTGGAGGGGGGGAGGGAGGAATTATAGGTTTTAGCCCAGAATTGGAGTGGGTCTAATAGAACAAAAGAGAGCTTATTTCCAAAGTTACAGTAAAAAAAAAAAGCTGAAATCTAGAAGCAGCTATTTGCTGCTTTGAAAAATCGGCTTTTTTTTTTTTCATTGAAAACATGGGTGAACAATGTGCTTAATGATAGTTTGTAAATGCCGCTCCTACCATCTTTTTGTCTCTCTGTCACACTGAGATACATCACACATACAAAAAATTTCATCTTCCTTGTGCAATTATTCAGAACCAACTAAATCTATCAAATTCTGCACCCATCAATTAAAATTTAAAGACGAACACTCACAGAGGAAGTAAATAATTAAAATATTGTAAGGCAACAAATCATCTGGAACTATTCTCACAACTTTGATAGAGAATGGCAGAAAGAATACGAACCTGAAACTTCATTCGCTTTGCTTAGGTGGCAGGAGAGAAAGATTCAAGAGTCCAACCCCTTTTTGAACCCCGACCTACCCTCTTCACCTAATTTCCTCCCTCACAATGAACTCCCCATCCCACCCAATCCCCTTTCACCCAATGCAACCATACCCAAAACCAATCCCCTTCCCCCGATGCAACCTACCAAAAACCCAATATTAATATTCTGGGTGAAAAAATTAAAGGAAAACTAATAAAAAAAAGCTTAAAAACTTTAAGGATAAAATAAATGGTAAAGTGAATAGTATCAAGATTGACTTTTTAGTGTAAAAATGTGATTTTTCATTAAAGTGAACAGTACCGCAGACATTTCGTTAAAACTCCCAAAAATTAATGGATATTGGAAATGCTAGCTTTTTTGGGAGGTAAAGCTAGGGATGATGTCGATATTGAGAATGACGCTTTTTTTTTTTTAGGCAAATGAAATAGGTTGTACGCAACGTTTCATCAACCTTGCTAATTATAACCTTATCATTGTTATGTAACCTTGGATTGTAAACTATTATGATTATATAACGGAACCTTACATTTCTTGTAATTCAAACGTTGAATGTTAAACGTGAAGGTATGGAGTCAATAAGTGAATAAGAATGGATGGGTAATTCTAGGACGTCCACATGTAATTCGATTAAAACAATGGTTAGTGTATGGTATCCAAGAAAAAAAGGTATCGGTATGTTTTAATTTAAATTATGATTTGTAATTTGATCACATTCATGCAGAACAACCTTAATAGTGTATTAGTATGTCCAAAACATAAACGCTAACCTTGTTACAGTAACAACAATAATCATTTTGTGTTATTGATTATAAACTTAATTAACATTGTTATGTAAAGTTGAACAATAAACTTTGATGATTATAGTGTTACTTTTCCTTTCTTTTAATTCAGACATTGAATGTTGTTGGACTACCGCTAAATGTGAAGGTAAAAATCCAAAAAGTGAATAATGATGATAGATAATTCCAAAACATCATGTTGTAGTCGATAAACTTTGTTTTTTTCTTTTCCCTAAATACAAGAGGTATTTCACATTAAATTAATCGAAATTGCTGGAAGGAAGATTTGAACTTGGATGCACATTAGAAGTGAGGGGAGGGGAGGGGAGGGCCCCGGTGGGGGAGGGGGGGCCCGGGGGGTGGTGGGGTGGTGCCATGAGGGGGGTTGTTGTGGGGGGACTTATTCACCCTAGACAACATGACTATACATATCTGCAACTTAGTTTTCAAAATAGAAAAATGAGTAATCAAAATTGCTAAAAAAAATTGGGAAACTTCTCATAGTCTAGCTAAGACAAACAATGTACAAAGCTAATTCAAAAACAGAAAACAAATCAACCCTAATTGAACAAGAAAACCTAAAAGTCACAAGGAAAGAAAAACTAGATATTTTTTATTCCTCCTAAATGCTAACTTAGAAAGTATAGAGAAAATACAATGTACTGCCATAATTTGCTCATACACTACTTCATGAGTTCCTGACAAGAAAAATAAATCTAAATTTCACATTTAATAGAAGAAGTGAGAGAGATCTTCAACAAACAAGAAATATGATAAAAACTTGTTGACCCTACAAATGACGAAACCTACATACGTTCCAACACGCAACCGAGCTCGGTCGAGTGAGTAGAATGGATGTGGTGTTGGTGTGGAATGTGTTGCTGATTTTTGCACCGAAGAGGTTAGGGCTGAGGAAGGAGCACTTCTCAGCCTTGGATTTTGAAACTTGAAGACAAGGTTACTAGAACAATGGGAAGTTCAATAATTGCTTCGGTTTTCGTTATTTCAAATAAGGTTTAACTAGGGAACACCTCACTTTGTCGAAGTTGATGAGATGACCTCTTGAGACAAAAGAATAGAGAATTCTTATTCCGCCAAGACTTGTATAGATAACCAACCAGCTAGTTGCAGGCTGTTTGCTAATCCGAATGGAAGGGGCTCCTGAATCGCTTAGCTCTACAGCTCCATTGCTGTTAGTTCAAACTGAAGATGTCTCCAGTTGTCAACATAATGTTGTTCACTTGTCCAAAATGAAAATACATGAACGGGAGGGTTAGTATAATTAATATTTTTCTAAGAAAATGTAAGAAGGTTTCGCATAGAGCGTTTTGAGTTGTTTGTTGAAGGGGGTATCTTCTGTTGTAGAACCTTCTCTATTTATGGTTGCATAGATGAAGCCCCTTCATAAACAAGCCCACCGAGGTAGAGTTATGATTGGACTGTACCTGCTAGGCATCTCCTTGAATGTTCCTCTTATCCTTTAATGGCCAAAACTTCACCTCCAACCATTCTCAGCCTTTTTAATCTAAACTAGGATTCTAAATCTAATTTCGTCATGAGACTTGTTCATCTTTATCCAATTACGCAGGCATTCTTATCCTTAGGATAATTTTTATTTAGTCCACATCTCAATCTTATCTTTGGCAATCTCAACCGAGCCATCCATACTTGGTTTCTTCACAATCCTTCATTCATGAGGACTCGGGCCAATCGAACCTTTTGGTGGGCTCAATGCCTAGTGGCCTGAAGGATACATACTGGGCAGAGAACCATGGTTCTCAAGTCAGCCTATCTCTACTCAATCTGTTATTTTAGGTCCAAACATGACCAAAAAACCATAGGGGAATTTAGGGACAAGAAACTGAAAAAAGAGTAGGATTTATGAATAAATTTTGGCATTATATTTCTAATTAAACTTGCTTTCATTACTATTAATTTCATACAAGAATGCTAAATAAATTGACAATTTGCTTATTATTAACAATGTAAAATGTTGAATTACAATCTAGAAATTGGATGGACGGATGTTTATCCGTAGGAAATAATAAAAGAACTGTTGGGATTGTTAGATGATATGTGATCAGATAGATAGGATGCTGATTTCGCATCCTATTCATTGACGAGTTGAGTTCGCTAGAAACCGCTAACGGTAAATCCACCGTCAACGCTAATAACTTGTCCATTGATGTAAGAAGCAGCAGGAAGGCAGAGGAAAGTGACTAGAGATGAGATTTCATTAGGCTGTGCCAGGCGACGGATGGGGGTTCTACCTATTAGGCGTCTGAAATCATCAGAATGGCCGTCCTGACAATGCAAAATCAAGTTCGAGTGTTAGATGAGATATGCTTAAAACATATTAATTAAACTGGTAAGATACAAAGGACTCAACAATATTTAGGTAAAGAGGGGATGGATATTTACAGATTCAACTTTAACTCCGGTGTTGACAGCCCATGGTGCCACAGAATTAGTACGAATGCCGTCCCTTGCCCATTCGCATGCCAAGTTCTTTGAAATTTGGATAATCGCACCTATAAAATAGCAATGAATAGGAATGTTTAGAGGTCTTACAGTTAATATTAATAACATACATTATTTATTTATATTTTGTAAAATTAATTACTCACTTTTTGTTGCTGCATAGGCAGAGAGTTTTGGAAGAGCTACCACACCGGCAATAGATGCCACAAAGACAATGCTTGCATTTCCAGAGGCTTTCAAGAGAGGGTGTGCAAGTTGAGAAAGATGGTAGGGAGATTCAACATTGGTTTCCATCATACTTGAGAAATCTTCCAAAGTGTAATCTGTAGTTCCTCTAAGTGTGCAAGTTGCAGCACTATTTACCTACATTTAGCACCATACGTAGCAATGTCAAAACCCATCATTATATTAATTAAGCTGTAAGTTAAGGTTTAAATAGACTAATTAGTCATAAATAAATTAGCTTACGAGGATGTTCAGTTTGCCATGGAAAATAGAGGAGACAGTTTTGATGAGGTTCTCTCTTTGTGCTTTAGAGGTTAAGTCACAAACCGAGCCGGTCACTTTGAATCCCTTACTTTCCCATTCTTGAAGCCTCTCAAGAATCTGCGCTTCGTTACGGGCACAGGTATGCACGGTTGCTCCAAGTCCTGCTAGCTCTTCCACTATGGCATACCTGGAAGAAAAAAAATTGCATTTGCAAACATTAAGAATAATGTACAAACGAAATGAACTGATCTGAATTGTCAGATTAATAAAGAACAAATAAGGGAAGAAATAGCGAATTTTTAGTTACCCGATGCCTTTAGTTCCACCTGTGACGAGGGCAGTCATACCCTTTAGAGACCATCTTTGGCTGTCGAAACCTGCCATGTATGTTTGCTTGATCTGAAACGAAAGATGCTTGTGCACTTCAAGTGGTAATTGAACAGGTGATTAGAAAGCTGTGTATAATACTGAAGGCTGAAGAAGAATTAGATGTGGATGTGAAGATGATAATCTATGGAAGCTAGCTGTGGGTATATATAGCAATTCTTGCTGCAACCAAAATATTAAACTAATAAGAAGAAAGTAGCGAACAGCGTGCGCAGTGGCCGTACTTGGGCTGAGTCAAATTCCTTGTTAATTAGGAATCGTCAATTCAATACAGTGATGAGAGCAAATGAGCATATTGAACGTCAATTCTTTGTATTATTCAACGCGGAGGAAGGGATTTTAAGATTACAAATGTGAACCATGAAGCTTTAATTACTGTTGGTGCCGAAAGGTCATCGTTCTTACTTCTTAGGTTATGTAGCCGGTATGCGCTCAGTCAATTTGCTTGACCTCCCTATTTGTGACAGCTTTGTGTGAGGATATTAGTGTTAGGTCTGTCATTAGGCCTGGCAAACAGATCGTGTATGTCGTGTTCGTATCGTTTTCGTGTAACACCTGTTATCTTAACGGGTCGTGTCGTGTCACACCTGTTATCTTAATGGGTCCTTAACAGGTCGGGTCACTTTACCCACCCGTTATGACCCGCTATGACCTGTTAAGAAAAATGTATTTTTTTTCTTAAACTTGCACATATATACCACACATTGCCACATAAATATTACTTCAAAACATTAAAGCACACTTTTTCATTTAAGTACTACATCTACACTTGAAAATAAGAGTCTAATAAACAAACATTCATACACTGCTAGTCTATTATAAAATATTAAATGTGCAAGGATATACAAAATATTAAATGTGCAAGGATATGCAAAAAGATATTCAAGGTTGTGAAGCTTTTCTCAAAAGTTTAAACCTTGTCAATGGAACTCGAAGCTTGAATGTAATTCCTTTTACAAAATCCTCAATTTTCATCGATCATCATGACATAAGATTTTGTGGTATCTACTTGTGTAAATATTTTAAATTGAAGATCGAATTCATTCATTGTATTCATATGGGGTCAAGGAGTGTAGCTGTAAAAAATCAACAAAATCAGAGTTAAAATAACCATTAAATCGTGATTTTTCGTTGATAACCGTTGAAAAGTTTTGTCCCATTACTTGATCTCTGAATGTTTGTTTTTTGCGATTTTTGGCGTATGCGATCTTGAAGCATATACAAACAACTTTGACGGTTGAATCATTGAAATTATTTTCATAGAATGCGTATACGGTATCCCATCAAAACGATAAATTCATTAACACGTAGAGTTTATTTATAATTTCATCAAGTATAACATAAGATTTTGTGGTATCCACTAGGGTAAATATTTTAAATTGAAGATCGAATTCATTCATTGTATTCAAATAAGGTTAAGGAGTGTAGCTGTAAAAAATCATCCAAATTGAAGTTAAAATAATCGTTAAATCGTGAGTTTTTGTTGATAACCGTCGAAACGTTTTGTCCCATTACTTGATCTTTAAATTTTTATTTTTTGCAATTTTTGGCGTATACGATCTCGAAATATATACAAACATGTTTGACGGTTGGATCGTTGAAACTAGTTTCGTAGAATGTGTATCCCATCAAAACAATAGATTCGCTAATACTTAAAAGTTTATTCATACTTTCATTAAGTATAACATAAGATTTTGTGATATCCACTAGTGTAAATATTTTAAATTGAAGATCAAGTTCATTCATTGTATTCATATAGGATCAAGGAGTGTAACTATAAAAAATCATCAAAATTGGAGGTAAAATAACCGTTAAATCGTGATTTTTTGTTGATAACCGTCGAAACGCTTTGTCCTGTTACTTGATATTTGAATGTTTATTTTTTGCAATTTTTGGCATGTACGATCTCGAAGTATATTCAAACAAGTTTGACGGTTGGATCGTTGAAACTAATTTTGTAGAATGCGTATCCCATAAAAATAATAGATTCACTAACACTTAAGAGTTTATTCATACTTTCATTAAGTATAACATAAGATTTTATGGTATCCACTAGTGTAAATATTTTAAATTGAAGATCAAGTTCATTCATTGTATTCATATAGGGTCAAAGAGTGTAACTATAAAAAATCATCAAGATCGGAGTTAAAATAACCGTTAAATCGTGATTTTTCGTTGATAGCCGTCGAAATGTTTTGTCCAGTTACTTGATCTCTGAATGTTTGTTTTTTGTGATTTTTTGCTGATGCGATCTCGATGCATATACAAACAAGTTTGACGGTTGGATCGTTCAAATTAGTTTCATAGAATTTGTATCCCATCAAGTTCAATGGTGTCTATATATATATATATATATATATATATTTATTTATTAAGTAGATTAAATTTATTTATTTTGTATGTATAACACTTAAGAAATTGAATGGTATATATATTTAAGCCGATCTAGTGGTCACCAATTTTTAATATTTAATTTAATATATATATATATATAATTATTGTGGTTTTTAGGGGTATAAAATTGTTAAATTAATATATATATATATATAATTATTATAATATTTTTTTAGGGTTATAAAAATATAAAAGTAATATTTTGTTTATCACGTATCGTGTTACCCACGTGTATACCCGAACCAACCCGTTATCTTAACAGGTACTTATCGGGTTACCCGATTCGTTATCGTGTCAATCCGAACACCTGTTAATTTCGTGTCGTGTCGTATCGGGTTATCGGGTCGTGTCAAGAATTGCCAGGCCTATTTGTCATATCTACCGTATTTGCGACAAAATTTCTCTTGGATTATTTGTTATACTGGCCAGTTATGGTAATTTAATAAGGGTTTAAAATCGTTTTTGATTTGACACCTCTTGTAATTGGTTGTAGAGTTGAGTTATCCGAAATGTGAATCCGTTGGTATGTGGCATATGCAGCTTTAACTTCAAATACAGGAATTTTTTTTCTGAAATGTCATACGAATTTATACACCTTTTTCAAATTTCATATGAACTAAAATTTTAAGTGAATTGTCATGCCAACTAATGTCCTTAGTGATGCAAGAAAATTGGGTAAGTATCAAGCAACAATTATTGTCATTGGTAAATTGATAAACTGACAACAAATTATGAGTAGCTTGGGGTGTGTGAAGAATATTGTTAAATAAGAATTTGGAAGGAGTGTAGAAATTGGAATTACCAAAGTGCTTAATGTCAAGAGATTGACCATTTGCTACACTGACTTTGTCTGGTCCTGTGTAGTCCGACCGAAACGAGAGATTGGAAAGGTCATTGGTAATGTGATGTGTGGCCTCAAAGTCAGCATACCAGGTAGATGTGGAGGGAGAAGCTTGATTCATGGAGGAGTAGGATGCAGACGAAGAAGACGATTGAGGCTAATAGTAGTTTGGCGAAGGTGTAGTAAGTTTTGATGGTGGAGGGAAATCTTGGAAACCCTGGTTCAGACGATTACGGCATCTAGCAGTAGAATGGCCATGGGTATTGCAGAATGTACAGAAAGGTCTAGTGTTGTTAGTGGTGTTATGATGGAAGAAGTTGCAGGAATTGTTGGGAAAGTTGGGACGATGGAAGCGATTTTGGTTAAAGGTGGAGTTTTTGTTGGGCCTGGAGTGGGAAAAACGGGATTGAGAGTTATTGTTGAAAGGCTTGGAAGGTGCAGAGGTTGAAAAGTTGAAAAAAGGGTTCTTGGAGATGAGCGGTACGATTCTTAACAGCTACCTCTTCACTGAGCAAGAGGCCTTGGAGTTCTTCAGGGTTTACAGGATCTGAACGCACTCTAATCGAAGTAGCATAAGCATTGTAGTCACTAGGAAGGCCATTGAAGGTATAGGCTACAAAATCAAGGTCATCAAGCAGTGCACCAGCTGCAGAAAGGGAATCAGCAGTCTGCTTGACAAGCTAAAGATAGTCAAACACAAAGAGGGTTCCTTCCTTCAAATTTTGAAGCTTAGCATTGAGCTGCAACAAGTAGGATCTAGAAATACCACCAAAACGATTCTCTAGGTTGAGCCATAGAGTACGAGCAGTGGTTAAGCCAACCATGTAAGGGAGAACAGCTTCAGAGAGGCTAGCATTTATCCAAATCTTACAGGTGCGATCTTTCTTTACCCATTGGGCATAAGCAAGGTTTGGAATTGTGGGTTTAGTACCGGAGGCATCAGAAAGAAACTGTGGGGGGCAAGGCTCAGTTCCATCAATTAGGCCTAACATATCATAGTTCTCAAAAATGGGGATGAAAAACTCTTTCCACACAAGGTAGTTGTCACGTGTAAGTTTGGCAAGTAGGAGGAAGGCAATGTGTTGAGCAGCAATAGGAGGCATGTAGGACTGGGTTTGAATAGACAGATCAGATGAGGAAGCATCAGAAAAAGGGATTAGTCATATCTTGAATCGTTGAAGAGGCCATAGGTTAGAAAAAGAAAGAACAATGTAACAACTGTTGGGTATTAATGGCTCTGGATACCATGATGAAAAACAAAGTTGACAAAGTTGAGGAAAAGAATCATCTCTCTATATGGTAAAGAAGAAAGAAACGGCAGACCTAAAGCTCAAAACATAAATAGTAAAACAATAGTATTTATATACATGACTACATTTGAAACCCTAAAGGAATATTCTTCTTGCTCATCCTAAACTATGCACAACTATCCTGTTTTGATCAATTCAACAGGTGTCTTGGCAAGGTGTGGCACCATGGGCTTTGTTCACTGGACTATGGTTAATACCAACTTTCCGAAATCTTTCATTTGTCATATCACCCTAATTCTGTTAAGTTTTTCCTTTAAAATAAATCATCTGCAAGGCACACGACTTGTGTTCAGAGTTACTTTGGACATTTCAACATCTCACTTCATTTTTAATAAGTTGCCTCCCACGAAAATAATTATAAGATTTCTTAAAAAATAATCCAAATGGTTCCACCAATACCGTGTATATATGATCTTCAACGCGCTTACGCTATCAAGACCAGGTCTATTAGTGGGCTCTAAACTGGGGTCAACAACTCAATGGTCAATTATACCATATGCAGCGCGTTCACTTACCTTTTTCTTCTGTTTTTTGATGGTGTTCACTTATCTAATTATTTGTTTGTATGAAAGGATATGTTATA